AGGCAGCAAAAGGAAAGGGAACCAGGTCAGAAGGGGTGGCAGGGGTGGCATTCACTGGAACCGATTCCCTGTAGTTCCTCCTTACAGCAGCTGAAAGCAGCGGGAGGGAGAGGAGGAGAAGCCAGTTTTCAGCTGCTGCAGGGGGGAACTACATGGGATCAGTTCCAGTGAATGCAGCCCCTGCCTCCCTTCCTGTCCAGATTCTCCTTCTTTCTGCTTCTCAGCTGCCTGGGCCCCCATGTTGAACTGATGGGGCCCAGATCCCATACAGGGGGACCGGTGGCACCCCTTAGAGGCAGCCCTAGATGAGGACTTTGGCTATTACTTAGCTCTGGCAGTACAGGTGACTGCAGTATGAGCAGGGTTGCCAACCATTTGTACTTTCATGGACAGTTTGTAAAAAAATACCCTGATTTTTTCCCATCTATAACAGACCGTAGACAGGAGAAACTGTCTGTAGAAATACAGTGGCTGGCTGTGGCTTTCACTTCTGTATGTGTTCACACTGTAAGTGGTCCTTTCCTTTAATGAACAGCAACGTTACCTGCATGAACATGATGAAGACCGGATCTGCTCCATCCTATCCTCTGTGCCCACCCCACACTTTTGCCCCCGGTGTGCAATGCATGCCAACACTGCCAGCCAGCTGTAGGTGAGGGCCATACTGTGAGAAGCTTGAGGGTAGCAGGAGAGTGCCCGGAGTTCTCCAATCATCAGTGCGGGATGTTTGTGCACTGGAAGTGTAAGAAATGAGCACCACTGCATTAGTACCATGACCTCCGAAGGAGGGGCTGTCCCCTTGCAGGACACAGGTGAGTGCCTCTGGCTGGGGACCCAGCTGTAGGAATGCCACACTGACTGGAAATAGTGGTGGCATGGACTAGGACATCCAGGAAAGTCTGCATGGCTTTAAGTGGGCACGATAGGACCTGTAGTGCCATCACAAGTGAAAAGCCAAAGGTTTTCCATACCTAGTGTTAGGGGGAGCACATACATACAAAGAGGCACACTGGGACTTGTAGTCCCATGACACCTTGGCAATCCAAAGGTTTCTTATACCTACCTGAGAGCTGTGATAGGCAGGAGGAGGCACATAGGTGGCCCTTCATGGCTGACATCAGTAGAAAATGTGGACAAAGTAGTTCATTGTGAATAGAGGGCTGTGAAAAGAGTTGTCTGAACATTCAGATGGGAGATTTGAAACAGAGCATGCAGCTCTATATTCTGGCCTCTTGCTGCCATGCGGCTGCCTGAGCATAGTGGAGACCAGCCTTTGCCCTGGAGGGGGCATGATTGGTCAGTGGGCATTCTGTACACTGTACACCCCTTCCTGTGAGACTGTCACTGTGGCATAGTCATTAGGAGTATTTTGTGGATACAAGGACTATGTCATAGACATGCAATATATAGAGTGACAAGCCACAGGTTGTGGTTAATTGAGCCACTTCCACTGTTAGACGCATTCTGGCCATGACCATGATTTTCTACAATGTGCTACCAAGCTGCAGGATCAGTTCTTCTGTTCCATTCCAGGGTTACTCGGGTTTTTCTTAATCCTAGTCATGCTCACATTTTGCCATTGTGGGGTTGAACTGGAGAGTGCAAAATCTGATGCATCTCTGCCTAGAATCCAATCAGCTTCCATTTTTTTTTTTGTCCAAGCTTAATTGAACACACTGTAGTTAGAATCTGATTGGCTACCATGCAGCTACACCAGATTTTGCACTCTCTAGTTTTAGTAAATCAACTGTACTGTTTTGACTTTTTCATTGTAAAGTCAGGAAAAATACTTGTTATGGGTATTGCTACCATTTACATATTATATAAATTTCATTTATCTCATTTTCGCCGCCTGGCTCCCCTTCTTCCTCTCCTCTGAGCTACCGACCATCATCCTCGGGGACTTCAACATCCCCATCAACGACAACACCCCGGCTACTTCCCAATTCCTCCACCTAACCTCCTCCTTCGCGCTCACACAGCACACTCAATCCTCCACCCACTTCGGAGGGAACACCCTGGACCTTGTCTTCTCCCACCTCTGTACCCTCAACCAGTTCTCGAACACCCCCTTCCCTCTCTCCGACCACCACCTCCTCACCTTCTCCCATCTCCCCTTCCCCCAACTCCCCCCCCTCAAAAACGCCAAACCATCACCAGCCGCAACCTCCGCAACCTGAACCCGGCCCCCCTCCACTCTGCCGCCGACTGCCTACACGACAGCATCCTCCCACTGTCATGTCCTGACATAGCCACCACCTTGTACAATGACTCACTGTCAGCTGCCCTAGACTCTCTGGCACCCCTAACCACACGCATCATCATCAAACCCAGACCGCTTCAACCATGGCAGACCGACAGCACTAAACGCCTCAAACGTCGCAGTCGCGCACTGGAGAGACTGTGGCGCAAAACCAGGTCCCCTCATACTTTCTCCCTCTACAAATCTGCATTTTTATCTACACCTCCTCCCTCCACGCCGCCAAGCAGGCCTACTTTGTTAACCTAATAAACACCCTCTCCTCCTGCCCCCCGCCGACTCTTCTCCACCTTCAACTCCCTGCTCTCCCCCCCCCCCTCCTCCACTCAGTACCTCTCTCACCGCCCACGAGATTGCCACCCATTTCCACAACAAGATTGACGCTATCCGTAAGGACATCGTCAACTTGCAATCTACCTCCCCACCTAGCCTCCTCGCCCCCGTCACCCCTTCATCTCCCCCCTCCTCTGCCCTCACAACCGCACTTCCCCCCTCCTCTCCCAATGCCCTGCCCACCATAACCCCCCCCCGCACTGCACTCCCTCAGCCCTGTCACTACTGAGGAAGTCGCCAAAGTCCTCTCAAAAGCCCGCCTCACTACCTGCCCCCTGGACCCTATCCCCTCTCAACTCTCCGGTCACCCCCCTCTTCCCTCATCCGCTCCCTCACCCACATCTTCAATCTCTCCCTCTCTACTGGCGTATTCCCCTCCCCCCTAAAGCACGCGCATATCACCCCCATCCTCAAAAAGCCCTCCCTGGATCCCGCGGACCCCAACAACCTCAGACCCATCTCTCTGCTGCCACTCACCTCCAAGCTCCTTGAACGCATAGTCTACGATCGCCTAAGCGCCCACCTTACAGACAATAACCTCCTTGACCCTCTACAGTCCGGCTTCCGTCCCCTACACTCCACTGAAACTGCCCTCCTCAAAATCACTAACGACCTACTCAACGCCAAAGCCAAGGGCGACTACTCTGTCCTCCTTCTCCTGGACCTCTCTGCGGCCTTCGACACAGTTGACCACCCCCTCCTCCTTAATAAACTACTCTCCCTTGGCATCGGAGATACTGCTCTCTCTTGGTTCTCATCCTACCTATCCCGACGCTCCTTCAGTGTCACCTACAATGGTGCCACCTCCCCCTCCCTCCCCCTCTCTGTTGGGGTCCCCCAAGGCTCTGTCCTTGGACCCCTTCTCTTCTCCATCTACACCTCCTCCCTGGGCAAACTCATACAATCTCACGGCTTCAACTATCACCTCTATGCTGACGACACCCAAATCTACCTCTCCACCCCTCACCTCACCCCCCCCACTATCTCCGCCCGCATCACTCACCTCCTAAATGACATCTCAGACTGGATGTCGCTACATTTCCTCAAGCTCAACCTCTCCAAAACCGAGCTCCTCATCTTTCCCCCTGCCAACACCCCCCCCCCCATCCTATCCATCATCACCAACAACTCCACTATCACTCCCGCCCCGCAAGCCAAAGTCCTTGGCGTCATTCTTGACGCGAACCTCTCCCTCCAACCGCATGTCAAATCACTCACAAACACATGCAGGCTCCATCTTCGCAACATTGCCAAGATACGCTCCTTCCTCACCCCAGACACCACCAAACTTCTAGTACACTCCCCTCATCATCTCACGCCTTGACTACTGCAACTCCCTCCTCACTGGCCTACCCAAGTGCAGGCTCTCCCCGCTCCAGACCATCCTGAACTCAGCTGCCAGACTCATCCACCTCACCACCCGCTCCACCTCTGCCACCCCCCTCTGCCTCTCCCTCCACTGGCTCCCGATTGCCCAACGCATCAAATTTAAACTCCTAACCCTGACCTACAAAGCCGTTCACAACACTGCCCCTGACTACCTCACCAACCTGATCACCAAGTACCACCCTACCCGTACCCTTCGCTCCTCACAGGACCTCCTTCTATCCTGCTCCCTGGTCTCCTCCTCCCATGCACGACTGCAGGACTTCTCCAGGTCCTCCCCCATCCTCTGGAACTCACTGCCCCAATCCATCAGACTGTCGCCTTCCCTATTCACATTCAGGCGCTCCCTCAAAACCCATCTCTTCAGGGAAGCCTACCCCACCCTCACCTAACGGCCATCCTCCCTCATTCCTCCCACCACTTCATCCCCCTCAGCCACTTCCTACTGTACCTTTACCCCCTCCCTCCTAGATTGTAAGCTCGTAAGAGTAGGGCCCTCTTACCCCTCGTACGTTGTTTGTTGTTGTTGTACTGTGCCATGTATTGTCCCCCCTATTGTACAGCGCTGAGCAAACCCTTTGGCGCTATATAAACTCGTAGTAATAATAATAATAATAATAATTTTCCAGTAGAAGTTTCTGTCATACTTCTGGTTGTTATTAAAAAATGTACTCTGTCAATAAATTATCCATATTTTGTCAGTAAAAAAGTTATGGAGTGTTGGCTACCCTGAGTTCAAGGACAGGAAATAGAATTTGCACTAATAGCAAAAGCTATAAAGGCATTTGAAAAGAAAAATGATCACAAATTATATAATAGTCAAGGGTACAGGACTATAGAGCAATAAAAATATGTGAGACTTCAATGAGGCATTAAGAAGCAGATCTTTCTTCTGAAAGGAAAATCTTCCTTATGTAAGTCTTTGACATTTTAAGAAGTGTTTAGGAGAAGTGATCCATGGATTTCTTTTGTTCTCTACCCTAATCATAATGCCTGACTTTGACTTCTATCTCCGTCTTACCTCAAACACTTTCAGAGTGCGGGATAGTGAAGAAGGTTTGTTTCCTTTGAGGGAGAAGAGTAGGTTGACAATGGCTTTGCCATCTTTCTCCTCGAATACCAGAGATTCAGTGCATTCCGCTGCCTCTGCTGCCGCTGCCGCTGCTTCCCGTTCCTTCCGAGCATCTTCTATTAAACTCTGCCTCCTGCCCAAGAATCGGGGAGACTGAAAAGGAAAATAAATCACAGGAAATAATAAAATATAGGTAGTAAACAAGAAAAAAAATTGATATAAAAAAATTTGATTCATTAATATACATGCATTACATGCAATATGCATGTAAAAGTTCACATTATGTGTAAACCATAAGAGTAAAATCCAGATAGGTTAAATCAATTAGTAAACTGCTGATGATATCAAGATAAACTTGAAACAGTAGAATAACTGCTCATCTTTCCATCAAAGTAAATGTAAACCTAAACACTTAAATATCATATAAACTTTAACATATGAATACAATTTCAAATGTGATTTCCAATCTGTAGCCTACGTTAAAAGCTCCTTCCTGTTATAGGGTGACAATGCTCCGTCCCTGTTTTCCAATGGTGCTCGTTCATTGTCAACCTGCCACAAGGGCCTCTTGGACTACAAGTGGTTTCATCACACATAACTTTTTTTTTATTATTTAAAGGGTGTATATAAGGTAGTTTTGATTATTTAATTTAATGTTCTTTGTATTTGTGTTTATCCTTTCTGATATTTTTATATGTCATTTCACTTTTCCCTGTCTGTTTTTTTTCTGTGAAAAAGGGAAAATAATATGACTAACGAGGGGGACATCTTTGGCACAAAGACTGATCCAAGAAAGTTGAAAGGAGTTTCCGTAACTTTCAGTAGCTCTTTGTTACCAGTTGCTCCTTTAAAACCACCAAAAGCTCTTACGGATTGCAGAAATCACCCAAGTTACACTAACATTTCAGAGAACAAAACAATAATATAATAATGGGAAAAGGAAGCACAACCTTTTCAAACATGGTTTGGGCAACTTCAGCTCTTTTTACACAAAGTGAAAGTGTACTGGATCCCAGCAACAGATGAAACATCCAACAGAGTATGTACAAAATAATACAATAAAAAGAAACCCTTTTCAATAACACAGGTCTGTGACTAAAAAGCTGTTTGATTATTTTCATCTAATTTCCATGTATTTTGGTGTGCTGAAAACAAATAAAATATTGAAAAAACTCCTAGACGTCATGATTTTCCACAAAATGCAAAATTGTCTTCAAATTTATCAAATTTTTTTAATTTTTGGTATTTTTTTTTATATTATGGGTTTTTAACCAAATTTAAAGTCCAAATTACTATTAATTAATTCACATAAGTGCATTTAAGATATAAAATGCCAAAAAAAAACCTTAAAGGGGTTGTCCGAGTTATGTAAAAAAAAATATAGCACTGTAAATCTGATGGTCAGCAATATATACATAAACTAAGCAAGTTTTAGGGAAAAAAAAATTCTATTTCCTCATTTCCCTAGTTCTCTTCTGGTCCTTTGTTGTTATTTGCAGGTAAACAATCTCTTCCCCTCCCCCCCTGCAAAGGGGATGAATACAAGTGCTGCTCTGAGTGACATGTCTGACTACTGGGATACTCAGCAGCATGTTGTATGTGTAAGCCTCAGCCCTGAGTCTGTGCTTCTAATGGTAGAAAGGGTTAATCTGACCTGAAGAATCCAGTGGGTGGGATACCAAATACCCTTGTTTTCTGTGTCTATGGGACAATTGAGACCGACAAAATCACTGGACCAAGAAGAGTTGACAGCCGAGGGTGCTAACAGTCGGTGAAAAAAATGTCCTCCGAGAAACTTTGGTACCTTCCCATAAAGTTCTTCTACCACCTCTCCACATTAAATTGGGATTGATGAAGCAATTCATAAAATCACTTCCAAGAGATGGAGAATGCTTCAAATACTTGGACACCAAGTTTCCAGGCCTGTCGGAGGCAAAATTGAAGAAAGGTGTGTTTGTCGGACCAGACATTAGAAGGCTTATAGTTGATCAAGAGTTTGTCAATACCATGACGGATCCTCAAAAAGAAGGGTGGTTTGCATTTAACGAAGTGGTACAGAAATTTTTAGGCAATAACAAAGATCCTCACTACAAAAAAAGATCGTCGAATGCTGAAAGCATTTCAAGCTTTAGGTTGCCTGATGAGTTTGAAAGTGCATTTCCTCCAGTCCCACCTTGACTACTTTCCTGAAAATGTGGGAGCTGTGAGTGAGGAACAAGGTGAACGATTCCACCGAGACATTAAAGAGATGGAAAGGAGATACCAGGGAAAATGGAGCATTACAATGATGGCAGACTACTGTTGGATGCTTCAGAGAGACATTCCAGATGCTACTCACAAGCGTAAATGCACCAAGAGGAGCCTCACAGGGAAGAAGAATCGAGTTTAGTTTGTGTAGGTGAGCTCATTTCAGTTCAAAAAAGGATTTTTATGAAAAAATTGTAATAAAACTTTAATTTTATAAGTCTATTTCCATTTATTTTGAGGTATTGCCTTATTTAATATAGTTACCTAAATTGTCAGGAAACGTGATGTCCTATGACAAAATGGAGGTCATTTTCGGATTCAGTGCACCAAAAAACATAAAGATTACGTGGAATAACCAAAACAGCATTTGAAAAAAAATTGTTTGCAGACCTGTGTAATAGGTTTTCTGTTCATATCTTAGCAAGCATCCACACATCCAGCATATACAGTATATTCAATCTATATATGTACCTATGTGTCTTTCCTGCAAGGTCACGTGTCCATGTATACACTATACCTTAGGCCAGGGATCTCCAAACTTTCTAGACAAAGGGCCAGTTTACTGTCCTTCAGACTCTGGGGGGGCCGGACTATAGCCATTGGGAGTAGAAAAGGTCCCACATTCAGTGGGGAAAAGCAATGCCCCATCCTTGGTGTCAGTGGGAAGAATTGTACCCCATCAGTGGGGACATTGGGCCCCATTGTTGGTGTCATTGGGATGAAGTTTGCTTCATCCTTGGTGGCAGTGGGAGAAATTGTGCCACATCATTGGTTTCAGTGGAAGGAATTGTGCCCCATTGTTGGTATCAGTGGACGAAATAGAGCCCCAAGGGCCGGATAAATGCAAGCAAAGGGCCGCATCTGGCCCTTGGGCTGCAGTTTGGAGACCACTGCATTAGGTCATTCCTTCCACCATCTTCTCTTTTAGCAGTTAACGTTTCCTTTATATGCCCATTTGGTATTTATTTGCTAACTTTTTGGTTGATCTTACTTGACAACTGCCTACATAGGTTTTTCCTTGAAAACTTCTGAGATATTTCCTGCATTGTTTAACCACTTGCAAACCACCCACCTGCAATGTACTGCAGACGGGCGGCCCGCACCGGCAAGGCCGTGTACCTGTGTGTCGCTGTCTGCTTCCGGGTTTGGAGGGGGCCCCCCTTCCCCCGCCAGCATGCACTGCGATTGTCCACGGTGGGAGCCTGTCAGCAAGTCCCAGCCAATGATTCACCCCCGACCTGCTAATTGGCTGTGTACAATCACAGCCCAGAGCTCTGTATTGAAAATCAACACAGAGCTCTGTAGAAAGGGAATGATTCTCTTTTTCTCATCTCAGCAAAGCAAGTAAAAATTAGTACATTTTACATATACTAAATTGTTAGGCACACATTTAACACCTAGATCGTCCTAGATATTAACCCTTTTCTAGCCAGTGTCATTAGTACAGTGACAGTGTATAGTATTATCACTGATCACTGTATTAATGTCACTGGTAATTTGGTAATTTCAGTAGCAGTTAGTCAGTTTCCCCCAGCACATGGTTAGTGTCAAATTGCCCGCCGCACTATTGCAGTCCCATTATAAATAGCTGATCACCGCCATTAGTAGTATAAAAATAAGTTCCAGTATATACAGTCAGTCAGTCCATAAATATTGGGACATCGACACAATTCTAACATTTTTGGCTCTATACACCACCAAAATGGATTTGAAATGAAACAAACAAGATGTGATTTAACTGCAGACTGTCAGCTTTAATTTGAGGGTATTTACATCCAAATCAAGTGAACTGTGTAGGAATTACAACAGTTTTCATATGTGCCTCCCACTTGTTAAGGGACCAAAAGTAATGGGACAATTGGCTTCTCAGCTGTGTCCATGGCCAGGTGTGTGTTATTCCCTCATTATCCCAATTACAATGAGCAGATGAAAAAGGTCCAGAGTTCATTTCAAGTGTGCCATTTGCATTTGGAATCTGTTGCTGTCAACTCCCAAGATGAGATCCAAAGAGCTGTCACTATCAGTGAAGCAAGCCATCATTAGGCTGAAAAAACAGTGCCTGACCACTCCAAAAACATTAGGCGTGCCCTGAAGACACTTGTTTGGAACATTCTATATTAGTTTAAGGTTTGGATTTGTTTCAGCACTGCATTTGTTTATTTTGTCCCGCGGCTCTTAAAAATTCTATAACATTCATTTCTGTAGCCTGCTGTTCCCCCTGTCAGTCCACACATTTGGCCAGGTCACCTGGATCCACAACAGTAGCAAAATACTAAATTTATGAAGAAACTTGATTTTTTAAATATTTTTATTGGATACGTTTTGTAGCAGAAAGTAAAAAAATATTTTTTCAAAATGTCTTTGTTTATATCGCAAAAAATAAAAACTCAGTGGTGTATCAAATATCACCAAAAGAAAGCTCTATTTGTTTGACCCTGACACTGATCGAACTCCGCCCCCACTGACCCCCCGCCTATTCCTCCCACCAGTTCCTCCCCCTAGTGAAAATTGGTATAAATTTTGTTCGGGTACATCACTGCATGACTGAGCAATTGCCAGTTAAAGTAGCACATTGCTAAAAGGAAAAAATGCTGTTCCCTGTGTCAGTCCACTGATCTTAAAGGGGATAAAATCTTCCAGAGCTTAAGTGGTTTTGTAGGCAAAAAGTCACATTTTTTTACCATTGTGAAAAATTAATACCTAAGGCAATTCCAAACGTCTATTTAAAAATATGTATTAGATAGGCAAATCACAGTTTAAAAAAAAATGGCCTGATCTTAAAGGGTATAAAATCTTCTACGTAAACAGATTTTTACCATTTTTAATAAAGGCACGTCTAAAGCAATTTGTATATATAGAAAACAGATTTGCCTACAAAGCAATTTGTACAAAAACAATTTGCCTAT